TATTTTTCTACACATGGCTATCCTAGCAATAGTTGTTGGAAAAAAAAACACTATTTTTTTTGGAAGTCCTTTGAACCCAACTCCCCACCCTTCAGACCTTCTGACAAAAGCGTCAATATTAAAGAACTTGATAGACTGTTAAAAATAGTCAATAAATTTTGCCATTTAGATATCTGATTAGAACTTTTTTGAAGTTTATTTTTCTGTAATGGACCCCACTCTATCTATATAAACAGTGAGTACGTAATATTTAGACATTGTTAATGCACTCTGAAGACAAAACCAGAGAGGATAAGAAAATTAACACTTTACCATAACCAGAGTGATGTGTGATTCATTGTTCAAACTGAGACAGTGCTGAAAATAAAAGGAGGGTGTTATTGATAATTATTCCAGGATAACAAGCACAAACCAGACTCACCCTAGGCAAAATGGAACAGTCACTCCTAACTATAACCAGCTATAATCACATTGTAGAAACATCCTTTCAGAGTTCTGGATTTGGAGAAAAGGAAAATTTAACAGAATCAAATTATAAGGAAGCATGACAATACAAGGAAAGGCAGGTGAAGGGAAACAGAATAAGCATCTCTGAGTGGAGGAATAGAACTGAGACTTAAGTAAATAAAATATTCTCTTCCACAGAAACAAAAACTAGATTAAAGCTCTAAGGCTTTAATCTGTGTCTATATGTGTTTCATTCTATCTTTTTTTCTTTCTTTCTCTTTGTGTGTACTTTCCAGGTATGACCTGAAAGACACCAGTAAAATCACACTGGTTGATATAGAACTGATATCTGCCATGGGTCCTCCAGGTGGTGGAAGAAATGCGGTCACTCCTCGTTTTATTCGACATTTCAACGTCTGTACTATCAATACTTTCAGTGATGAGACTATGGTCCGAATTTTCTCATCAATCATGTCATTCTACCTCAGGTCTCATGAATTTTCTCCAGAGTACTTTGCACTGGGAAACCAAATAGTCAGTGGGACTATGGAGGTGAGCAAGTAATGCCATGTAAGGGGTGTTAGCATGAGACTCTAGCCTCACTCACTTGGTCTGAATCCCTTAGCCATCTTCGTTTCCATTATCAGAGATCCTGGTCAGACGGTTTAAGGGCAGCAAAATCACAGATGCTGAAGGTAAAGAATCTAGCTGGGTCTGAGCCTTGACTGCTGTCCCTAGCTTAATGCCCAGGAATAAGCAGTTGGGCCTTCTTGAAGGCCCAAGTTGTTTTTAATCACTAAAATGAGATATAATACATGTCTCATAAGGTATTTGCCCATCACCAGCACCTGTCGCATCATAAGCATTTCTTTGATGGTTAGGTTCTACTGTGGAATTTGTTAAATTTTCTCTCTTCTATCTTCCTTCCTTGTTCTTCATACTTTTATGCTGTAATAATTTAAAAAATGGCTGTTGGGCTATAAAATGTTTATTGTTTGCTCTAATATTATTACGGTGGTATTATTTAACCCACCATCACAAATAATAAGACACAGACACCTGTTAGATTTATAATTGCCTTATTTACCTTGGGCTGGGCAGAGATTGCACCTACACTGGCTCAATAACCTCACTATTCATCTCCATCTCCCAACTCTCATTCGATGCCATCCATGTTAATCATCTATAATCCAGTGGTACTTGCTTGTATTCTTCATCTGGGCCTTTTCATGCTATTATTGGAGTCCTTTCTCCCAGCCCATGCTCTTTTTTTTTCCACACTAACCCATCCTGGCATCCTCCTTCCTCCTCTCTTCTAGTCGGTCTCTCCTGTGATTCTCCTGATTCTTCCTCAGAAAGCCTGGGAACCTTAGCCAGGCCTGCTCCATTCTATCCTTCCCAGGTACAAGCTATTTAATCAACCAATCATGTATGTCTTATGCAGGTTTAAAAAACAAAGATAGATGTAATCAGATATTAAGGGCTAGTAACACGCATCAGACCAAGCTCCAACACTTTTAAAAAAAGAAAGATTATATACACATTACTCTTACTCAGACCACGTACATTTCAGTAAAAAAATAAAAGCATGCAAGGATGAGAGTAAAAATATATGCCTGTGTGGCCAAAGGGCGCCTCCTGATTTGCTCAGGGTGTATTATCTGCCTTACTCAGAAGCTGGAGCCAGCCTCATTGTTAAAGGGAAAAATTCTCTCAAAGGAAATTTCGTAATGACCTCACCATGCTCACACTGATAAAGAGGGGTTTGTGCACAAGCAATGCCCTTCAATGGCATGCCCACATGGCTTACTTCCTCCAGCTGGGCCACAGCTTCTAGTTTCTACCATCTCCTGATGATGCCTTGTGCTGGGAGTCCATCTTTAGGTCAGAGCCCCCCCCTGTGTTATCACTTCCCAAAAGCCCATCTTCTGCTACTCAAGCCGTTAACACCAGAGCCTTTGGTGGGGGCATTTCAGACCCAAACCATGACTGAGTAGAAGATTTATCCTAATACAGGAAAGCGCTTTTATTTGTAAAATGTAATATTTCAGATATTACTTGGAATGAGTGGTTGGGCCTCAGCCCAACCATTTTCTCTCATTGAAACATTAAGAGACCTACGATATTTCCCATAGTGAGGGGAACAGGGACTGTTTCTGTCAGGAACTCAATGGCAGGCTCTTTGACCTCCCCAGCCCCCAAGGGAGGAGCAGTCCTGCCAGGCCACAGAGGAGGACTTTGCAGCCAGTCCTGAAGATACCTGATAAAACCGGGTCAGATGAAAGGGGAGGAGGTCCTCCCCAATCAGTGGACTTGGAAAGGGGCAGGGAGGAGATGAGGGAGGGAACGGGATACAGCTGGGATACAGAGTTAATAAAATGTAACTAATAATAAAAATATAAACAAACAAACAAACAAACAAATAAATAAATAAAGAGACCTACCATAGGTAGATGCTGGGGCAGGGAATAAATGACAGAAAATATCCAAATGAAACATAATGCCATTCTTTTTATCAGGATATATTAAAAAAGTAATTCATTTTCTCTGAAGAGAGTATTGGCTTTCTTAAAATGAATGCAGCATTGGGGGAGGGTGTACCTTGTCTCTATATTATACCAGTTAAGATAGGTGGAGGAAGAAGAGGAGCCAGAGTCTAACAGGAAGGAGGGAGGGAGAGAGCTGATTGATTTAAAGATCATTGCTAATCTCAAAGACATTATTCCTTCCTCTGTATTTGAACTGCTTTAGAATGAGTTACCTGATTTTAGTTTCTATTTCGATTTTAAACTGCTTAATAACTTTCAGGTCATCTGTAAGTGGGGCAATTATAACAAATGGGAACTAAAGTAAGAGCGAATGAAATCCAAGTTGAAAGGCTATTAAGTTCACCCAACTTCATAGTACCTGGTTGGTGTCATAGACCAAAACGAACATAAACGACATGCTAGACTTAATATTATGCGTGTTTTCCATAGTGATATAATCTAATAGGGTAAATAAAATATTACTTATTCTAATTTGCTAGGACAATTAATTATAAGTATTTCATTTTTGAATTGTATTTTTTCCTTCACAGATATATAAAAAATCTATGGAAAATCTTTTACCCACTCCCGCAAAATCTCATTATACTTTTAATTTGCGTGATTTCTCGCGTGTCATCCGGGGTTGCTTGCTCATTGAGAAAGACGCTATAGAGACCAAACACACCATGATTCGCCTGTTCGTGCACGAGGTTCTCCGTGTGTTTTATGATCGCCTCATTAACGATGAAGATCGAAACTGGCTCTTCGTGTTGACTAAAGCTGTTGTAAAGGACCATTTTAAGGAGCCATTTGATGCTGTCTTTTTTCATCTGCGGAAAGAGAATGCTCCAGTAAGTATAATACTGGAGCAGTATTATACTGTAATATAATACAGTAATATAAAAAATATAATATAATATATTATATATTATAATATATAATATTACAGTTAATATTATTATAATTATACTGTATAATTATAATTATATTTATAATTACGGTATAAATTAATACAGTAATATAAAAAAATATGTCAGGTTAAAAGAGAATGGAACCGGCTACGTGGCTGCAGGAGATCTGCTGCCATCTACTGGCCTCTTCAGGCATAACACACACGATAAACATGCCAACAAAACACCCCTAAAATAAAAACCTATTGATTCCCAGACTACAGAACAAAACAATAAAATTTTTGTTCTTACTGCATAAGGATATCATTTTGTGTGCTAATTTTATACACATATTATTTTCTCTCTTAGTGTTTAAAAGAATTAGCTAATAGTCAACTGTGACAACTTAATTTTTTTAATTTTTTCTTAAATTTATTTTTAATTTTATTTTTATGATTTTCTGATTTCTGTTCCACAGGTAACCGAAGAAGACTTAAGAAATCTCATGTTTGGAGATTATATAAATCCTGATCTCGAAGGGGATGATCGAATTTATATTGAAATTCCAAATATTCAGCAGTTTAATGATGTTGTTGACCAGTGTTTGGATGAGTATAATCAAACCCACAAAAGGAGAATGAACCTTGTTGTGTTTAGGTACCTATGCTTCACATTTATGCATGCTTGAAACTTCTATCATAAATTTTCATGAAATAGGTAAGACAGAAACATAGCAAATACCTGTCATATAGATTACAATATAAAACACCCGTGATTTATTAAGTTCTCTGTTTCAGTCAGCCCTCCTCTTAATCTTTAGTAGTAAAAAGAAATCCCTGAGGTTTTGGACGGCGTATGGAGGCCAGAGGACAACCTTCAGGTGCCAGGCCCCACCTTTCCGCCTTGTTTAAGACTTCTTTACCAGTGCAGAAGCCAGGCTAGCTGGACCCCTGAGTCTCCAGAGCATCTCAGATCTGTGGCTCCCACCTCTGCTGGGTGTTCTAGGATTACAGATGTGTCGTTGCATCCAGCTGTTAGATGATCTCTGGAGATTTGAACTTGAGTCTTCAGGCTTGTGTGGGGAAACGCCCCAGCCCCAGCGCCTGCATGTTTTAGTTTTCCGGTAAATTTTCTGTGCATATACAATGCAACACGATGTTATAAAATATGTTTAATGAAATGTAAGAAAATCTGCATGCATGTTGTTATGGATAATAACTCTTACTTTTGCTAGGTATGTTTTGGAACATTTATCAAGAATATGCCGCATTCTAAAGCAGTCTGGAGGAAACGCTTTGCTTATTGGGCTTGGAGGGAGTGGTCGGCAGTCTTTAACTCGTCTGGCTACATCTATGGCAAAAATGCAGATTTTCCAACCAGAAATTTCTAAGAGTTATGGTATGAATGAGTGGAGAGAGGATATGAAGGTAAGATTATGAATCTTAGTGTGATAGAAGTTCACACTTTGGCTAGTAGATGGGAGCCAGCCGGTGCAGCTATGTATTTTTGGTAGTTATGCTAATCCTGTCCTACCCATTGGGTGCCTGCTTTGAGTGGTGAACACCTTGTGAGTGCTTTAATTACATAATCTCATTCTCTAGATACAACACTGTGACATAGTTGTCTCTAGGCTTCACTGTTGAAAACACCGAAGCTAAAAGAAGTGATATGTAACAAGAACAAGGCTTCTTAATGCAAGTTATCACAGTTGCCACTGATTTCTGTCTTTATTCTGGTTTGAGAAGACTTATTTTACATGAATATATGATTACCATAAGGTCTTGTACAGATAGCCACAGGTGTTTTGAGTTCATGAGTGGAACAGCCGTATCTTGTCTAAAAAACAATATCTCACAATGGCCATTCCCAGCTCCTGGGTCTTATAGTCTTTCTGATCCCTCTTCTGTAACGTTTCCTGAGCCTGGGGAGAAGCAGGTAATGCAGATTTTCTGTCTGAGGCTGAGCAGTGCACAGTCATTTATTCTCTAGTTGTGTCTGTGTTAATGATTCTCCACTGCAGTAAGAGAATTCTCTCATGAGGGATGAGAGGTGAACTAATCTGTGGGTAAAAGGATAAATGTTTAGAAAGCAGTTTAATGCTGTCTTAGTTAGGGTTTCTATTGTGTGATGAAACACCATGACCGAAGCAAGTTATGGAGCAAAGAGTTTATTTGGCTTATGCTTCCACAGCACTTATTCATCATTAAAAGGAGGTCAGGCCATGAACTCAAACAGCATAGGAACCTGGAGGCAGTAGCTGATGGAGAGGCCATTGAGGGGTGCTGCTTACTGGCTTGTTTCCCATGGCTTGTTCAACCTGCTTTCTTACAGAGCCCAGGACCACCAGCCAAAGGGTGACACCACCCACAATGGGCTGGGCCCTCCTGCATCAATCACTAATTAGGAAAATGCCCTACAGGCTTGTCTGGAGCCTGATCTTGCGGAGGTATTTTCTTAATTGAGGTTCTCTCCTCTCAGATGACTTTGCTTGTATCAAGTTGACATAAAACTATGTCCATTTAGCAAAAGTAACACTATTAGGTTATTTCTCTTCAGAAAAATCTCCTTCCCAAGCAAGGACTTTTGGCCAAGTTTACAGTACCATGGATGAGCTCCCTCCTGTAGATCAGGCCTTAAAACCAATCATCTGTGGCTGGTTGTCCCCTGCACCCCGTGCCATTCATGCCACTGTTGTTCGTAGGGCTCACAACTGGGCAAGACTCGGGATGACCTGTCCTCTCAGAGCAGCCTCCACAGCACCTTTCAGTTCCTATGAAAGCTAGAGCAGAGAAAAAGTTTCTGGTTGTTATTAGGGGATTATCATCAAGTTCTGGTAACCAAGAACAGTGGCAATAGCCTGAATTTGGTGGGGAGGGGGATCTCCTAGGAAGCCCCTGCCAAGGGAGGTGAATCACACCAGACACCGTGGCTCCTGGGTCCTTAATCACATGCCTTCTGAACCAACTGTTATGTCTACAAGCTTGAGGAAACTAAGTAGTCTGCATTGCTCCCCCATAGTATGGGAGAAATGGAGTTCTTGATTGACAGCACCACCAGAATCAAAGTCTCTTAAACCAAAATGTGAAAAGAAGGGGAAAGCAAACCCAACGCAAGCCCACTGCATTCTGCTTATCCGTACATTTTCCTTTAAGACCTTGCTAAGAAATGTAGGCATGAAAGGCCAGAAGACCGTCTTTCTGATCACAGACACTCAGATTAAAGAGGAAGCTTTTCTGGAAGATATCGACAGTGTGCTCAATACTGGTGAAGTTCCTAACATTTTTGCAGCAGATGAAAAGCAAGAAGTAATGGAGGTAAATGCTTCGGGGGAGTCTTGCTCTTGGCACAGGAATTTTTTAATCCTGAAAACTTTTCTGTGATCGTCAGGATAAATATAACTTATAAAAATTAAGCAATTAAATAAATATAGCTTATACAATTTAAAGTATATTAGTTTAACATACCATTTTGGTGGATTTTATTCTAGCATAGCTGTGAGTCAGAAATTATTTTATAATTATTATCTTCATAAAGTAGCAATTATTTTATGTTTGGTGATGTTTAGCATGCTTATGGTTGATTAGAGTTTAATATCATCTCTTAAACGGATGTAAGAACCAGATCAGGGTATGGTAGCACACACCTCTAATCCTAGCACTCATAAGACTAAAGCGGGAGGATCAGGAGTTTGATGGCCGCTTGGACTATATTTTGAGACATGGTCTCAAAAAGAAAGAAAGACACAGGAAGAAAGAAAACATGACTTACCTGCTCAATTAATTGTATGGCTTTCTGCTGTCCAGTATGATTTCCCAAATTCTTAATAAAACTATCTTTTCTTAGAGTTCTAATATATATATTAGTTCTAATCGTTTATATATAATATATACACATATATATTAGGATTGTAAGAAAGGATAGATTATTTTACATTATATGTGTATATGTATTTTATGTACAGGATATGTGCATATTATATATTCATTTGTATATGTATATTACAATAATGTTAGAATCAATGTATATGCTAGGACTGTAAGAAAAGATAGTTTTATTTATATATGTGTACATTTATATGTATATTATATACATATTTGTACATATATAGTGTATAATATTAGCATGAATACATATAAGGACTGTAAGAAATGATGGTTTTCTTTACATATTATATATTTTTAGCATATGTTACTTCTTAGGTATATATACATGTGTGTAAATGACCATGTATATACATGTGTGTACTTTACACACATGTAAAGTCAGGTTTTATGGTCTAATTGACAAAATACAAATGTGTAGCACCTACTACTGTCAGCTGTCAGGTTACAGAGAGGTGAGGGAATAAGCAAAATGAGCCATTACTGTTTTGTTGTTGTTGTTGTTTTCTAATTAAACGTTTCACTACTTCACTATTTTATTTTATATTTGCATGTTTATATACACTTTTAAATATTTTCTTTTTGTTTGTGTGCATGAGAGAGTGTGCGCCAGTGTCCACCTCAGACCCCTTGGAACTGGAGTTACAGGCAGTTATGAACCACCAGACATGGATGCTGGGAACTGAATTCAGGGCCCCAAAATGAGCAGTGAGAGCTCTTGATCAACGAGGCCTCTCTCCAGCCCAGTGGTCCTCAGCCTGTGGCTTGAGGTTCCTTTGAGGGTCTCAGAGCAGATATCAGATATTTACATTGTGAAGCAGCAATGAAATAACTTTGTGGCTGGCGTCACCTCAACATGAGGGACTGTTACAGGGTCGCAGCATCAGGGAGGCCGAGAAGCTCTGCTCTAGGCCCTGTGTATGTTTTTTGAGATGAGGTTTCTCTATGTTGCTCGGCCCCACGTACCTGGGTCCAAGCAGTCTTCCTGCCTTAGGCATCTGAGAACTTGATTCCAGGTGTGCATCATACCCAGCTTATGTCAACCTTCTTTTTTCATAAAATTGGGTCTCAGAAACGCAGCACTGACTGGTCTCCTACCTCTGCCCACTAAGTGCTAGGAATGTAGGTGTACACCACTACATTAGTATGTGTGTATATATAAATATATATTTCATCAATTATTCTTTTTTAATTTTTTTGTTAATTACAGTTTATGCACTTTGTATCCCAGCTGTAGCCTCCTCTCTCATCTCCTCCCAATCCCACCTACCCTCCCTTTTCTCCTCCCATGCCCCTCTCCCAGTCCACTGATAGGGGAGGTCCTCCTCCCCTTCCCTCTGACCCTAGCCTATCACATCTCATCAGGAGTGTCTGCATTGTCTTCCTCTGTGGCCTGGTAAGGCTGCCCCCTCCTCAGGGGGAGGTGCTCAAAGAGCCAGCCACTGAATTCATGTCAGAGACAGCCCCTGTTCCCACTACGATGGAACCCACTTGGAGACTGAGCTGCCATGGGCTACATCTGTGCAGGGGTTCTAGGTTATGTCCATGAATGGTTCTTGGTTGGAGTCTCAGTTTCAGAAATATATATTTGTAAATATATATTATTTATTCTTTAACCATTGCATACATGTACATGGTATGTCTTGACCATGTCCATTCACCAATTCCCTTCTCCTTCCTCAGATCCCTCACATATGACCCCCTCCTTCCTCAGGTCTTTGTTTTAGCTTTTATAATTCACAGAGTCTGATTAGTGCTGCCAGCATGCACATGGGTATGGGGCTGTACACGGGGGCACAGACAATGCCCTGAATAAGATTGGTTCACCCTTCTCCAGAGTCATCAATGCCAGTAGCAATTGAGTGAGGTCTAGTGAGCCCCTCCTTCATGCATGCTAGCTTGATTTTGTGTGCCTATGAATTCACCAGTGCAACTCGGGGCCAGAAGGCAGCATCTCACAGCACTCCTCCCTCTCCTCCACTCTAGAGTCTTCACAGTTTCTTCTATGTAGCTATCTGAACCTTGGGGTGGGGTTATGATACAGATGTCCCATTTAGGAGTGTGAACGCAGCAGTATCTTAACCACGTATGAGTTCTGCGTTAACTGCAGCCCACTGCAAAAAGGGACTTTGTCTGACCAAGGTTGAAAGCAGCACTGATTTATGAAATAAGCACAAGTATTTCGAAGGTACTTTGACAACATGTTCATTTAGCAAAAGCGACAGTAGCATGCTTCTTCCCCTTAGGGCTTATGAGCCTCTGGAGCCATAGGGTTTCAGTACCAGCATGACTTCTCTCCTGGGGAGCAATCAGAAACAGCCATGCTGCTCCTACACCAGAAGCATACCTTGCCTCCAGACCAAGTATTTTACAATTTAACACAAGAAAATAATATTCTATGTATTCTTACATAACTTGTTTTTTTCATTTATTTTATTTTGCTAATCTTACCATAGCACGTAATAATACATCTTAAGAGTTTTGTTTTTGTTATTTTGCATGCACACAAACTAACAGGTTTTTAGGATGTTGTACTCTGCTTATCACCTTCCTTTAGATCTTTTTTCCCTCCAGAAAGTCTCCTTTCTCTGTTAAATTTAAGTTCCACATTTTAAAGAGAACTTTCTTTTTTATAATAATTTTTATTTTTATATTAATCACAGGTTACTTACTTTGTATCCCAGCTGTAGCCCCATCCCTCATGCCGTCCCAATCCCACCCTCCCTCCCTCATCTCCTCCCTGCTCCTTTCCAAATCCACTGATAGGGGAGATCCTCCTCCTCTTCCATCTGACCTTAGCTTATCAGGTCTCTTCAGGACTGGCTGCAATGTCCTCTTCTGTAGCCTAGCAAGGCTACTCCTCCCCCCTCCGAGGGTGTCAAAGAGCCTGCCACTGAGTTCATGTCAGAAATAGTCCCTGTTCCCCTTACTAGAGAACCCACTTGGATACTGAGCTACCGTGGGCTATATCCAAGCAGGGGTTCTAGGTTATAGCCATAATATTTGTCTTTTTCTCCCGTTATCTTCTCATTCTCCTCATCCTTTCTTAAATCTTCTTTCTGCATATTTCTACTGTACATCATATGTATCATATATAATTATTATATATAACACACATCTAATCTAGATTTTGCTTATGAGAGAAAGCACACATTCAATATTTGTCTTTCTGAGTCTGCTTTTACTTTGTTGTTGAAAAGTTTTATAAAACTCAGTATAAAGGTTATGGGGTGTTTTATAAGTTTAGTCAGTTTCTTTCAGGTGGACATTGCAGTACTTTTTTTTTTCCCCATAAAAACAATGTTGCCTTTAGGCCTACATATAATCTTGATGAGTTTTTCTGGTTATCTTTACCTGGTAAATTCTTGACAGATAATTTGTTTGTAAATTGTAAAATTATAGTGTAGGCAGAGATTCTAGAGGCACAAACTGTATCAAAGCCATCCCTTCGTTATAAAAATAAAATTTTAATGATAGTTAATACAAACCTAATTTCTAATATCTCATAGTAGTAATCTCCTTATAATAAGTATATGTTTATTTACAGGGTTTTCTATTTTCTATTCTTAGGGTGTTCGTCCAGTAGCTCAGGCTGGCAATAAACATGGTGAACTCAGCCCCTTAGCCTTGTTTGCTTTCTTTGTAAATCGCTGCAAAGATAATCTTCACATCGTGGTGGCCTTTAGCCCTATAGGAGATGCCTTTCGCAATCGTCTGAGACAGTTTCCATCTCTCATCAATTGTTGTACTATTGACTGGTTTCAGGTTTGTTTTGCTTTGTTTTGCTCTGAGGGAGCAGAATTACTCATTCTGGGAATTTTATCAAAATCTTATTTAAGCTTGGCTAATATTTAGCAAGTGTCTATTGCTTAGTTACTATAATGATGGGTGTAGTACTTAGGAAGAGTTATAGTGTTTACTTGCTAGGAGCTGATAGATTATGTGTTGCCCAGAAAGAGTTCACAATCTGGAGAAGACATGAAAGAAAACAGTCAGTAAAAGAAAGACATATAATGTTGATCTGCAAAACGTATACTGAAGACAGCCAATTTTTAAAGTGTGAAGATAAATCACTTACATAGAAAGTGGGTTTGGAACCATAGGATATAGCCCCCATATTTTAAAGTTAAATACAAAGAGGTGTGTGTGTGTTGGGGAGGATTATGAGTAGATTTGGTCCCCAAGATTATGGATCATTGAAGTTGTCAAAATCTTCATTCCACAAACTGGAGGCCTTGAAGAGTTGGTGCTACAGGTCTAGTACGAAGGCCATGAGGCTCAAGACTCATGTCCGAGATCTTCTCAATTCTGAAGTCAACAATAAAGCAATGTACCGTCCTGAGGACGTTCAGAGAGGAGAAATTCCCTCTTATTTGGAAGAAGGGCAACATTTTTCCTTGGTTCAGGACTTCTGATTAAAAGAGGTCTGCTGACATGAGGGTGGTAGGTTGTGCCTTTCAGCACTTGGGAAGCAGAGGCAGAGGCAGAGGCAGAGGCAGAGGCAGATCCCTGAGCTTGAGCCCAGTTTGGTCTACAGAGTAAGTTACAGGATAGCTAGAGCTTTACAGAGAAACCCTGTCCTGAATCCCCCCCATTCCCCCAAAAAGGAAGTTCTTAAAAAAATATACTGCTCTAAAAGAAAAAAATTACAAGCATCTTGTTGAAACTGACTGAAAGAAAACCTGAAAAATATTCTAATGAAAAGTAAAGAAGCATAAACTGTTTCATTAAATATTTAAAATGTTTGCTATTGAGTGTTGTTTTAGGCACTGAAGATCAAGCAATGATAAAAAGAAAGTCCTTGTTTCTATGCTGTTTAATTTTATCAGTGGTTAAATGGAAGCCAATAATAGAAAAATAATCAAGTGGTTGTGAGGTGTTGGTAAATTCTGAAGGTAACACTACAAGAGGTCATATAATAACAGGAGCAAGTGTTCTAGAAAGAGCATCCAGGGAAGATCTTTGTGATACTTTTGGGCATAAATATGAAGGAAGAAAGAAAGTGAACCATATGAAGGTCTGAGAAAACAGGATTCTGGACAGAGGAAACAGCAAGATAAAGGTCCTAGAGCAAAATCACAATTGGCCTAGTCCAAGATGAAGCAGAAGAAGGCATTTCACTGAGACGGAAAAGACTGCGTAAGAAGAACATTTGGGAGCCAAGATGGCGACTAGCACACACAGTTTCCGAGCTGTGGAAGAGATAAAGTTCTGAGTTGATGAGTGGAAGAACTTCTGAAGCCAGGGAAACAACGGAGAGACTTTCTAAACAACAGGGAACATCGCAGGAGGTGAAAACCTTGGTCTCGGGTCACCCAGGGACTTGTTTGGGGAAGGTGAGAAACGATCCTTTGATCTCTCGGCACTCCCCTCCCCCAGACCTCCCTCCTCCTCAGCACAGCGGGACTCAGCCTTTCTCAGCGCCGACCTAACTGCCTGGGGCCTGCAGCCACTAAGGCGGAGCCCCAAGCCCTTTATCAGCAAAGGCCAGCAGTACTGTGTCTCTGAGCCCCAGATTCGCGTGGCGGCTGCACCATCCTCCCAGGGCGTGAGTCTGCTAGACGCCATATTAGCTCCGCAGGATCGCGATCACTGACGATAAGGCCCGCCCAATCCCACAGTGACAGAGAATACGCTATATACTCACCAAAACCAGACAGAAACGCCATACAAGCTAGACACACCAGGCGCTGGGCCTCCGAAGCTTGGAGAGCACAGTGAAGAGACCCCAGGACTTCCCAGAAAGCATCTGGACTAGCAACCCAGTCTCCAGTTACAGCGGGACTTTCTAACCTGGCAGCAGAGCAGCACTGAGCTGGTGGGGCACATCAGCCCTCCAGTTTAAGACTAACCAGGGCCAAACCAGAGAACAGAAAGGCTGGTTACCCCGATTCCCACTGACGTGACCACCCTGAAATCTCCAGCTGCAGCAAGACCTCATAACCTGGCAGTGACAACAGCACGGAACTGGCGGAGCACATCAAAGAAGCAGGGCCAAACCAGAGAGCAGAGAGCCCAGATACCCCGATCTCTGCCAAGTGACCTGCCTGTACAGCTAGTCCTCAGCACACGCTAAGGACACGGGACCTCTCTCAACTTCCTGAAGAATTCTCCAGACTCAAGAGAGAGACAGTACCAGTCTGATCGGCAGAATCCAAAAACAAACAGGGAAGGTCTCAGATAAGCCAATGGCCAGGGGTAGGTGAAAGAACACTTCCAACATAAATCAGGACATCATGACTTCACCAGCAAACCCCAAAATCGATGGATACTCCAATTCATCAGAAACACAGGAAAATGACCTTAAAGCCATGCTTGCTCAATTATTTGAGGCTCATAAGGAGGAAATGAACAAATCTTTCAAAGAGTTGGCCAGTCAATTGGAGGTAAAGAAAGAAGAAATAGACAAAACCCTTAAAGAAACACAGGCAAACATAGCCAAACAAATAGAGGCACAAGTAGAGAAAAAATTAGTGGCATATAAAAAGGAAATGAACAAAGAAACAGAGTCCATTGTAGAAAGACAGGAATCCAAATTCAAACACATTGAAAGAAATGGTGCAAGGCATGAAAACAGAATTAGAATCAATAAAGAAAACACAAAATGAGAAAATTCTTGAGCTGGAGAACTTGGAGAAAAGATCAGGAACCACAAAAGTAAGCATCACCAACAGAATACAAGAGATGGAAGAGAGAATCTCTGGAGCTGAAGACACACTTGCAGAAATTGATACTTCTCTCAAAGAAAAAGTAAAATCAGAAAAGTTCCAATCACAAAATATCCAAGAAATCAAGGATGCTATGAAAAGACAAAATCTAAGAATAATAGGAATTGATGAAAAAGAAGACTCCAGGCTCCAAGGTCCAGAAAATATTTTCAAGAAAATCATAGAAGAAAATTTTCCCAACTTAAAGAAAGAGATGTCCATAAATATACAAGAGGCCTACAGAACACCAAATAGACTAGACCAGAAAAGAAACACATCACGTCACATCATAGTCAAAACACTAAATCTACAGAACAAAGAAAAGATATTAAAAGCAGCAAGGGAAAAAGGCCAAGTAACATATGAAGGTAGACCTATCAGAATCACACCAGACTTCTCATCAGAAACTATGAAAGCCAGAAGGGCCTGGGCAAGCATCATGGAGACTCTAAGAGATCACAAATGTCAACCCAGACTACTATACCCTGCAAAGCTTTCAATCAACATAGATGGAGAAAACAAAATATTTCATGACAAAACTAAATTTACGCAATATCTATACAGCAAACCAACCCTACAGAAGATACTAGAAGGAAAACTCCAATCCAACGAAAATGAATTCACCCAAGAAGACAGGGCATACAGATAATATCCCAACAAAAAATGAAAAGAAAATAAGCAATGAAACAGGGTAAGATCATCGACTCCATTACAAAAGGAACTAACATGCATTGGTCAATATTATCTATCAATATTAATGGACTCAACTCACCAATAAAAAGACACAGGCTAACAGAATGGTTACGGAAACAGGACCCAACATTCTGTTGCATCCAAGAAACACACCTATGCAACAAAGATAAACACTATCTCAGAGTAAAGGGCTGGAAAAATGTTTTTCAAGCAAATGGTTCCAAAAAACAAGCTGGAGTAGCCATCCTAATATCTAATAAAATAGACTTTCATCCGAAGTTAATCAAAAAAGATAAGGAGGGCCACTATATTCTCATCAAAGGAAAAATCCAACAAGAGGACATCACAATTTTAAATATCTATGCCCCAAATACAAGAGCACCTACATTCGTAAATGAAACAATATTAAAGCTTAAATCATACATTGATCCTAATACCTTAATAGTGGGAGACTTCAACACCCCACTCTCATCAAAGGACAGATCAACCAGACAGACACCAAGTAGGGAAATAAAAGCACTCACAGAATCCCTAAATCAAATGGACCTAATAGATGTCTATAGATCTTTTCACCCAAACTCAAAAGAGTACACCTTCTTTTCAGCACCACATGGAACCTTCTCCAAAATAGACCATATAGTTGGTCACAAAGCAAGCCTCAACAGATACAAAAGGATTGAAATAATCCCTTGTATACTATCTGACCACCATACACTAAAGCTGGACATCAACAACAACAGAAACAACAAAAAGCCGACATGCACATGGAAACTGAACAACTTACTACTCAATGACAGCTGGGTCAAGGAAGAAATAAAGAAAGAAATTAAAGACTTTCTAGAATTCAATGAAAATGAAGGCACAACATACCCAAATTTATGGGACACATTGAAAGCAGTGCTCAGAGGAAAATTTATAGCACTAAGTGCCTACAAGAAGAAATCCGTAACATCACATACAAACAACTTAATGGCCCAACTGAAAAACCTAGAAAAAAAAGAAGCAGATACACCCAAGAGGAGCAGATGGCTGGAAATAATCAAACTAAGGGCAGAAATCAATCAATTAGAAACAAATAAAATTATCCAAAGAATCAATGAAACAAAAAGCTGGTTCTTTGAGAAAATCAACAAGATAGACAAACCCTTAGCCAAACTAACTAAAAAGCAGAGAGAAACTATCCAAATCAGCAAAATCAGAAAGGAAAATGGGGACATAACTACAGACATTGAGGAAATCCAAACGATTATTAGGTCATACTACAAAAGCCTATATGGCACAAAATTTGAAAATCTAAATGAAATGGATAACTTTCTTGACAGATTCCATCTACCAAAATTAAGTCAAGATCAGGTAGAAAGACTGAATAGCCCTATATCTCCCAAGGAAATTGAAGCAGTCATTAACAGTCTCCCCTCCAAAAAAAGCCCTGGACCAGATGGCTTCAGCGCAGAATTCTACAAGACCTTCAAAGAAGTACTAACACCAATTCTCCTCAAACTATTCCACAAAATAGAAATAGAAGGAACACTACCAAACTCATTCTATGAAGCCATAGTCACCTTGATATCTAAACCACACAAAGATCCAACAAAAAAAGAGAACTTCAGACCTATCTCTCTTATGAACATTGATGCAAAAATACTCAATAAAATACTTGCAAACCGAATCCAAGAACACATCAAAGATATCATCCACCATGACCAAGTAGGCTTCATCCCAGGAATGCAAGGGTGGTTCAACATACGGAAATCCATCAATGTAATCCACCACATAAACAAACTGAAGGAGAAAAACCACATGATCATCTCCTTAGATGCTGAAAAAGCATTTGACAAAGTCCAACACCCATTTATGTTTAAAGTCTTGGAGAGATCAGGGATACAAGGCACATACCTAAAGATAGTAAAGGCAATATACAGCAAGCCTATAGCCAACATCAAACTCAATGGAGAGAAACTTAAATCAATCCCACTGAAATCAGGGACAAGACAAGGCTGCCCACTCTCTCCATATCTCTTCAACATTGTACTTGAAGTCCTAGCCAGAGCAATAAGACAACTAAAGGAGATCAAGGGGATACAAATCGGAAAGGAAGAGGTCAAAGTGTCACTATTTGCAGATGATATGATAGTATACATGAGCGACCCCAAAGATTCAACCAGAGAACTTCTTCAGCTGATAAACACCTTCAGCAAAGTGGCAGGATACAAAATCAACTCAAAAAAATCAGAAGCCCTCTTGTATACCAAAGACAAAAAGGCTGAGAAAGAAATTAGGGAAACAACACCCTTCACAATAGCCACTAATAATATAAAGTACCTTGGTGTGACTCTAACCAAGCAAGTGAAAGACCTGTTTGAGAAAAACTTCAAGTCTTTGAAGAAAGAAATTGAAGAAGATCTCAGAAGATGGAAAGATCTCCCGTGCTCATGGATTGGTAGGATTAACATTGTGAAAATGGCCATCCTGCCAAAAGCAATCTACAGATTCAATGCAATTCCCATCAAAATACCAACTCGATTCTTTACAGACCTTGAAAAAAAGATTCTCAGCTTCATATGGAGAAACAAAAAACCCAGAATCTCCAAAATGATCCTGTACAACAACAGATCATCTGGAGGTATCTCCATTCCCGATCTCAAGCTGTACTACAGGGCAACAGTAATAAAAACTGCATGGTATTGGCATAGAAACAGAAAGGAGGATCAATGGAACCGCATAGAAGACCCAAAAATAAACCCACACACCTATGAATACTCAATATTTGACAAAGAAGCCAAATCCATTCAATGGAAAAAAGACAGCATCTTCAACAAATGGTGCTGGACCAACTGGATGTCTACATGCAGAAAAATGAAAATAGATCCATATTTATCACCCTGCACAAAACTAAAGTCCAAGTGGATCAAGGACCTCAACATAAAACCAGATACTCTAAATCAGTTGGAAAAAAAGTGGGGAACAGCCTAGAACTCATTGGCACAGGAGACAACTTCCTGAACAGAACACCAACAGCACAGGCTCTAAGAGCAACAATCAATCAATGGGACCTCATGAAACTGAAAAGCTTCTGTAAAGCAAAAGACACTGTCATCAAAACAAATAGACAGCCTACAGATTGGGAAAGAATCTTCACCAACCCTTTATCTGACAGAGGGCTAATATCAAGTATATATAAAGAACTAAAGAAGCAGAAAAGCAACAAACCAAGTAATCCAATTAAAAAATGGGGAACAGAGCTAAACAGAGAATTCTCGAAAGAGGAACATCAAATGGCAGAGAAACACTTAAAGAAATGCTCAACCTCATTAGCCATTAGGGAAATGCAAATCAAAACGACCCTGAGATTTCACCTTACACCCATCAGAATGGCCAAGATGAAAAACTCAAGTGATAGCACATGTTGGAGAGGTTGTGGAGAAAAGGGAACCCTCCTCCACTGCTGGTGGGAATGTAAACTGGTTCAACCACTTTGGAAGTCAATCTGGCGCTTTCTCAGACAACTAGGAGTAGTGCTACCTCAAGACCCAGCTATACCACTCCTAGGCATATACCCAAAATTTGCTCAAGTACACAACAAGGACATTTGTTCAACCATGTTCATAGCAGCTTTATTTGTAATAGCCAGAACTTGGAAACAACCCAGATGTCCATCAACGGAGGAATGGATACAGAAATTGTGGTATTTTTACACAATGGAATACTACTCAGCAATCAAAAAGGAGGAAATAATGAAATTTGCAGGCAAGTGGTGGGATCTAGAAAAGATCATTCTGAGTGAAGTATCCCAGAAGGAGAAAGACAAACTTGGTATATACTCGCTTATATAGACCTACAAGACATGATAAACATAATGAAATCTACACACCTAAAGAAGATAATCAAGAAAGTGGACACAGGCGAAGGTGATTAATCCTCATTTAGAAAGACAAATGGGATGTGCATTGAACGTATGACAGGAGTCTACCACAAAAGGCATCTGAAAGACTCTACCTAGCAGTGTTTCAAAGCAGACACTAAGACTCATAACCAAACCCTCGGCAGAGTGCAGGGAATCATATGAAAGAAGGGAAGTTAGTATGATATGGAAAGGATAGGAGCTCTACAAGGACCAAATATATCCAGGCACAGGGTCTTTTCTGAGACTGACACTCAACCAAGGACCATCTATGGATATAACCTAGAACTTCTGCTCGGATGTGGCCCGTGGTAGCTCAGTAACCAAGTAGTTTTCCAAAGTAAGGGGAACAAGGACTATTTCTAACAGGATCTCAAGGGCAGGCTGTTTGGCCACCTCCCCCACCCCCAGGGGAGGAGCAGTCTGTTAGGCCACAGAGGAGGACTTTGCAGCCAGCCCTGAAGATACCTGATAAAACAGGGTCAAATGAAAGGGGAGGAGGTCCTCCCCTATCAGTGGACTTGGAAAGGGGCAGGGAGGAGACCAGGGAGGGAGTGTGGGGTTGGGGAGGGAATGAGGGAGCGGGATACAGCTGGGACACAGAGTTAACAAAATGTAACTAAAAAGAAAAATAAAATTAAAAAAAAAAAAGAACATTTGGGTGGAAGAAAATAAAAAATTCTATTTTTGGATGTTATGATAGAGATTATGAGGGACATTAATGACAAATCCAAATTTAAAAAGCGTTCCTCCTTTTCTCTAATCAGGGAAAAGGAGCTAATAGATATTGAATAGACAGCATCATATGCAACAAACATGCTAAACTGAAATGCCTAATGAATGTCCAAGTAGAGGAGCAGAGAAAGTGGTCGAATTATGTTCTTAACATGTAACATGTCATTAGTTCTTACTGTGCTATCCTTATTTTCATTTTAACATATATAAAGATCTAAAAAATATTGGGACCTCAATCTACTTAATTCTGTTTTCATCATTAAAGTTTCAACTTCATAATCCTAAACTCTTCTTCTAAATGAAGTCACAGCTCACATGGTTGGATTGAAACTGCTCATCTTTAATAAATTTTTCTTCTTTCTAGCCATGGCCTGAGGATGCTCTTGAGCGTGTAGCTGTGAGTTTCTTAGAAACTCTGGCACTTACTGAGGCTGAGCGACGAGAGATAGTCCCGATCTGTAAACACTTTCACACTTCCATTATGGACCTTTCAAAAAGGTTAATAATAATGACATTTTGAATTACAAAAATGCATTGTATTTTAAATGTCTTAGATTTTCCACAAAAGTCCAGAATTTTGATGTTATTTCTTTGTCTTCTAAGCTTTCTGGTTATTTGGTTAGTTAAAACTCTCAGCTAGCAAATAATAGAAAGGAAGAATTTATTATGAAGATCCAAAATTGTCTCACAAAAATATGAAAAATGACCAGAAGAAGTTAGAATCAGACAAACACACAACTGTTTTTTTTTTCTGATACACATCACCGCATGCGTTCTAAGGATTGATTATTATATCCTTGTATTGTAGAGGCATGAGCTTAATTGCTATTATATTGTTCATCTAGGGTCAGTTATCCAGCAAAATTGGCTTGGACAGAGGTACCAAGTAGTGTGTCATAGTCTGTACACTTGTATATCCCCTATATATCCTTCCATGTATAAACATACACATGTATGCCTGGCCTTATACCTTCAGCCAACATGTAACATACAGTGTCACTTAAACTTGTCCCATTTGCAGTCCCCTTTCCTGATGCTTGCCTACCTCAGACAATAGCTTGAGTGTCTTACAAGGCTACAGCATCCTGGCATATGACACATAGTAAAATAAAGACTGTATTTTTTTTCACTGTAATTCAACATTTATAGGCATCTTTGATTTGTGCTTTTATTAACATATCATTATTGTTTGGTATTTTTCAGATAAGAACTTGGAATCTGGTTATGTATAGATTTCTGGAGTTTCATGATGTTAAATACTTAGCATGTTCTGGATAAGCCTTAACCTTTACCTATAATGCCTGTGGCTAATGCTGTGCTGAATTTACATCGGTGTGAAATCCATTGCTTATACTGCAGTCTGTTGCTGCCTCTCTTTTAGGTTTTTAGAAGACTTAGGACGACATAACTATGTTACCGCTACTTCTTATCTTGAACTTATTGGCTCATTTCGGCAGCTTTTGACTAAGAAACGTCAGGCTGTCATGGAAGCAAAACAACGCTATGTGAATGGACTTGACCAGTTAGCTTTTGCCGAGTCTCAGGTAAATTCGATAAGCTGTTCAAAATTATAAAGCATACCGATAGCTGTAAAAAACAATAACAAAAACAAGAGCAACTGTTTGTTGGAAGCATGTTATTTTCAAGGCTCTGGGATAGGTACTTCACACATTGCTGCAGTCACTCATTTATCGGCTCTGAGAAGTAGCATCTCCTAACGTCTTCATTTTACAGATGAGAAAGTTTTAGAGAGACTCATTAAGTTGACCCAAATCACAAAGAACCAAATAACGAATCACTTGAGAGAATGAGAAATCTATTTTGGCTCTCTGTTGTAGCAGATGTTAAATATAAAATGGGCTTTTTCTAAGGAATCTAATGCTGCTAATACTTACTGGCGTTTTTGTCTCATACCATAGTATGATGTAAGTACCTGAGCTGACATCCTTTCTGGTTGCATATGGCCACTACCTTTTCCCTGTGTTCTGTGTAATACCTAAAAGACTCAAAGCCTTTTGTGAAAAGAACTATATGTGCTCTCATGATTCTCTTTATCATGCAAGGAACAGGGAAGATTAATATTTTTCATGTCCAGCCTTTTATGGTGCACTTAAGTTTCTGATTTCTATGTCAGCTATTACAGAAGTGAAACCTTAATGTAACCCGTCTGTTTAGGTTGGCGAAATGCAACTGGAGCTTGTTGAGTTACAGCCCAAATTGGAGGAGGCAAAGATTGAAAATGCACGTATGATGCAGGTAGGACATCAACATTTTTATTGATGTCAAAGGACAATTGAATAGTGTAAAACTAGTCTTGAAATTAACCTTAATTTTTTGCCCCTGGAACCTGTGGAGTTTACACTTTTCTATTGACTGGATATCTCACTTTTTGTATGTATTTGTCACTTTTAAAGGGTGATATGGAACCCATTTCCAAAGAAGGTCATACATATTTAGATTTCTTCTCATTTTATTCTACACCTAGCTTTTTGTTTTAAAATATTTTATTACTTCTTTCAGAATTTCATGCATTGTATTTTAGTCCTTTTGTCCCTCTCTTTATCTCTTCCTAGATACACTCCCCATGCTATTTCCACCCAACTTTGCATCCTTAGTTTTTTAACTCATTGAGTCCTATTAGTGCTGCTTATATACTCCTAAATACTAGAGTCTGTTAGACCTACCAGAAATAAAGCTAATTCTCTCTTTTCTTTTCTTTTTTTATTATTAGTTACATTTTATTAACTCTGTATCCCAGCTGTATCTGTTCCCTCATTCCCTTCCAAACCCTCCCTCCCTCCCTCATCTCCTCCCTGCCCCTTTCCAAGTCCACTAATTGGGGAAGACCTCCTCCCCTTTCATCTGATCCTGTTTTATCAGGTATCTTCAGAACTGGCTACAAAGTCCTTCTCTGTGGCCTAGCAGGACTGTTCCTCCCTTGGAGGGTGGGGAGGTCAAAGAGCTTGCCATTGAGTTCCTGTCAGAACTAGTCCCTGTTCCCCTTACTATGGGAAACCAGTTGGTTACTGAGCTACCGCGGGCTTCATCCATGCAGAGGTTCTAGGTTATATCCATACATGGTCCTTGGTTGAGTGTCAGTCTCAGAAAAGACCCCTGTGCCCAGATATATTTGGTCCTTATGGAGCTCCTATCCTTTCCACGTCATACATGTCGTATCCTTCTTTCATATGATTCCCTGCATTCTGCCCAAGGTTTGGTTATTAGTCTTAGTATCTGCTTTGATACACTGCTAGGTAGAGTCTCTCAGGGGCTCTCTGCGGTAGGCTCCTGTCCTGTTACTTGTTTTCTCCTATGTCCAATGCACCTCCCATTTGTCTTTCTAAGTGAGGATTGATCATCTTACCCCGGTCCTCTTTCTTGTTTATCTTCTTTAGGTGTATAGATTACATTATGTTTATCATACCTTATAGGACTATATAAGTGAGTATATACCATGTGTGTCTTTCTCCTTCTGGAATAGCTCACTCAGAATGATCTTTTCTAGATCCCACCATTTGCCTACAAATTTCATGATTTCCTCCTTTTTGATTGCTGAGTAGTATTCCATTGTGTAAAAATACCACAATTTCTGTATCCATTCCTCCATTGAGGGACATCTTTTCAAATAGCCATCACTTTCCAATAGCTCTTCGGTTAGGGATGGTCATTGTGTGAGCTTGCACATGGCTTTTGCGTTCTGCCATAATTGTTGAGTTCATATGTGCAACTGCCCTGCTGTAACCAGAAAGGTCTCCTTGTAGTCACTACTGCCTCTGACTCTTAGTCTTTCTACCCACTCTTCTACAGTAATCCCAAAACTTGGGAGAAGAGGAATGTGATAGAGAAGCTTCTCTGATGAAATTTGTGAGCTATATTAATCTTTGGCACCTGAAGAATAATAGTAACAGTTCTCAACTACAACCTGTGTGGTTCTCGGCCCCAATAACGGTGCCAAATATGGGTTGCATCATGTGAATCAGGCCTTAAATCCTATCAGAAAGTAGTTTGTTACTCCCATTCCATTCTTACACTGTTGTACCAGTGAGAATTTCTTGCCGGACAGGTAATTATTGTAGCTGTCAGGGTTCAATGCTAGATAAGACTGATAACTATTTTTCTCCTCTGGTAACATGCCCAGCACTTTCCGGCACTATAAAAGCTAGCCAGTAGGGATGAGGCTTCCAAGTCCAACACCAGCTTGATTTCTTGGTGCTCTGTGCCCCGAGTATGTGGAGTTTGTGGAGTCAGCAACAGGGTTTTACCATAAAGTTGAAGGGTCACCCAGAGAAATGGTAATAGCCTGCTATATTTGGTATCTGTGGAACCTTAATGGCCTCTACCTACATAGAGGTAACACATTCCTGGGCTTTTTGCTAACCAGTAGTATCTAATAGGGCATTATTATAGGGTAATTCCATTTACGTTCTCTATGTACGCAGATGCTTTAGGAGCCTTCTGCATATGTTTTTCCTATGTTTTTTTTTTCCCAGAAAGTCTTTATGTTAGTTATTCTCCCCTGTATCTCTTCCTCTACCTTATCTTCCCATCCCAAACCCCATTTAACCCTTTTGTTTATTATTTCTCTTTCCCCTTTATATCACTGCTTTCTGTGTCATCCCCACCCCCCGGGAAACCCATTCCCTCTCTATCTCCTTATTAACTTCCTGACCTCTGTGGGTATTCTAAAGAAGACAAATATATCGAAAGATTTTAGACTAAGATCCACAAGTGAGAGAGACAGCATGACATTTGTCTTTCTGTATCTGGGTTACCACTCGGAATGACTGCTTCCAGCTCTATCCATTTGCCTTCAAATTTCAGAACAATTGTTCTTAACAAACCTTTCTACCATTCACAAGGATGTGTTCAATTCCCTAGTGTTCAAATGTTCTATTGTTTCTGGGCTTGAAGAAACAATATATTACTTGAAATTTTGTCTTTATTTTTTTTAATATTCCCATTTCTTTTCTTTAGGTTATTGAGATAGAATCTGCACAAGTAGAAGCAAAAAGAAAGTTTGTGAAGTTAGATGAAGAGATAGCCAGTGGGAAGGCCGAAGAAGCCCAAGCCCTGAAAAATGAGTGTGAAAGTGACCTTGCTGAGGCAATTCCAGCATTGGAGGCAGCTCTGTCTGCACTGGACACACTTAAGGAAAGTTTCTGAATTTGCCACCTTGGCTTTATTCAGGTCTTTGGTTAACACGGTACAGCTCTAGTTTGGTGGGTTATATTGTTTACATTAAATGAAGCTTTCATCTAGACAGTTTTATTTGACATAATGCTATATTTGCATATTTGCTTTTCCATGTTATGTATAATTTTCAACAGAATAGTTTAGTGGGAACAGAATGAATGGTGTTTGTGAATCCAAAGAGATTCTGTACATAGGTCAGAAGGAAAAAAGAAGACAGGATGAAAAGGGAAAGGGAAGAAAAATGTATAGCTACTTGTGCAGCTTCCTAGACATACATACACAGAAAATTCAAATGTTGTATCTTATGCAGCTGGATGCGGTACCTTTCTGCAGTGCATTGTGTTGTATGTGACTCTTTAAGGCTCTGCAGGCAAGACCAGAATCGAAGAGTCAAGCACCTATTTAGCAGAGAGGCGAGGATATCAGACCCCATTCTCTGCCTGCTTCCTTAATCAGTGCCGCCATTGTCCATGTGGGAGACCTGGCAAGGCTGTAAACTCAGCCAAGGGCATCACAGGATCAAGTCTGTTGTCTCTTTAGTTGTACAACTCAGTGGTAGTTTTAAGACAAGATTATTTTAGAATATTCATACTGATATAAACATCCTAGTGTTTTCACTGTACTATAAACTATGAATTTAAAACCTAAGAGTTTTTCCTTTCCCCTTTTTCTTTTTCTTTCTTTCTTTCTTTCTTTTTTTTTTTTTTTTTTTTTTTTGGAGAATCTGAGTGTCTCTGAGTGGGAGGAGTGTGGAAGGAGCTTGTTTCTAATATTCCTTCCCTTTCCCTGATCCCAAACAAGATGTTTGATGTCGAGGAAAAATTAATATGTGATAAGGAGTAGCATCGCCTGTAATACTCTTGGATATTTATCTCTGAGACAAATGAAAATCTGGTGTATATTCTCAGAACATTAACAGAAGATGATGCCAAAGCAGCATTAAGCAGCTTCTGTAAGGTTTTAAAACTTGAAGATAAAAAAGGACAATGAAACAAGTGTGAGATCTATTTCAACTGGACAAGTTTCCAGAAGTAATGAATAGACATAAAAAGCACAACAACAAATTATCCTGAAAACTCATTAATTATATTCTTAATTAACTATATTCATTGATGATATCCCCACTGCTAAACAAAATTCTGATTTTTTAAAAAAATTATTTATTTTTGTTTTATGTGTGTGGTGGTTTGCCTGGATGTATGTCTGTATGAGGGTGTTGAGTCACCTGGAACTGGAGTTATAGACAATTGTGAGCTGCCATGTGGGTGCTGGAAACTGAACCCAGATCCTCTGGAATAACAGCCAGTGCTCTTAACCCCTGAGCCATCTCTCTAGCCCCCCAAAATTCTGACTTTTAAAATGTCAAATGGATTGCCTCAGG